GGTCATTATACTGTTGGATTTTAAACTGTATATGTGTGTTATATATTCTTGTAACTTTAAGAAAAAGCCCTAGACCGTACTAAGATGACAATATTTCTGGACACACCTATCTTTGCTTCACAGTTCTGAAAGAAAGTTCATTTTAACTGAAGCAGATAAATTCCTCCGAAGTAACCAACGATGAGACTGAAAGACTGCTTTATCGGTAGAAGACTCAGAACAAACATTTAGAATCATTTCCTTGGCCGGGCGCGGTGGCTCACGCCTATAATCCCAGCACTTTGGGAGGCCCAGGCAGGTGGATCGCGAGGTCAAGAGATCGAGACCATCCTGGTCAACACGGTGAAACCCCATCTCTACTAAAAATGCAAAAATTAGCTGGGTGTGGTGGCATTCGCCTGTAGTCCCAACTACTCGGGAAGCTGAGGCAGGAGAATTGCTTGAACCCAGGAGGCAGAGGTTGTGGTGAGCCGAGATCGCGCCATTGCACTCCAGCCTGGGTAACAAGAGTGAAACTCTGTCTCAAAAAAAAAAAAAAAAGAATCATTTCCTAAGAGAGAAAAGGCATGTGGCAGAGCAGTAAAATGCCACAGACTTGTTTGGGATATTTCACAGTAATATAGCTCCATGGGAAATTATACCATTAAGAACTGTGCCATCATTCCTAATTTAAAAATTTTCAGCATCCTGTTTTGTATGTATGTATTTATTTGTTTGTTTGATTTATTTATTCGGAGATCACGTCTTGCTCTGTCACCCAGGCTGGAATTCAGTGGTACAATCTCAGCTCACTGCAACCTCTGCCTCCCAAGTTCAAGCAATTCTCCCGCCTCCACCTCCCAAGTAGCTGAGATTACAGGCATGTGCCACCACACCCAGCTAATTTTTGTGTTTTTAGTAGAGATGGGGTTTTGCCATATTGTCCAGGCTGTTCTCAAACTTCTGGGCTCAAGCAATCCACCTGTCTCTGCCTCCCGAAGTGCTGGGATTACAGGCCTGAGATACCACACCTGGCCAGTGCCCTGTTTTAAATATAATGCCCACAATTTCTCTGACTACGTATAACCAAAAGCCACTACATCTGTTACATGATTAGAATACAAACAATTATGAAGTAGATGATACCTAATTGAGACTGCTAATTAAAGCCTGACTTGAAAATCAACTTCCAAACAAGCTAAGAAACAAAAAAGTCTCCTTCATGAAGTGTCCCTTAATTCCCTTCAATGAAGACAAGATCTCTTCATCCAAAAATCGTACATATTTTTCTGTGCCTTCCTACTGGCATTTATTACATTTTATCCTGTATTTTGGTCATCTGCTTTCCTTATCTCCTTTACTAGATTCGGAATTATTTGATAGTCTATGATGAGAACATACTCAACTCCCGGGCCCTGGAAACATTCATATTCTAGGGTAGCTTACATCTTTGCTCTCATTTAAAAAACAAAAACAAGGCTGGGAGAGGTGGCTCACACCTGTAATCCCAGCACTTTGTGAGGCCAAGGTGGGTGGATCTCCTGAGGTCAGGAGTTCGAGACCAGCCTGAACATCATGGCAAAACCTCGCCTTTACTAAAAATACAAAAATTAGCTGGGTGTTACGGTGTGAGCCTGTAGTCCCAGCTACTCAGAAGGCTGAGGCAGGAGAATCGCTTGAACCCAAGAGGCAGAAGTTGCAGTGAGCCGAGATCACGCCACTACACTCCAGCCTGGGTGACAGAGTGAGACTACATCTCAAAAAAAAATAAATAAATAACAACAAAAAAAAACACCCCGAAGCCCATGAAATCTGAAGTGGGGGGTGGGGCAAGATCAACAAAAAACAATGGCACTTCATTAAATCAAGTAATTCCTAAAATCTAAGAATACTAAATTTTGAATTAAAAGGGCCCTCTACTATTTTTTGTTTAAAACTTGTACCAAATACTTAATATGGTCAACATCAATTTTATTTATTACCTTCTTTTTTTTAGACAGGGGTTCACTCCCATTCCCCAGGCTGGAGTGCAGTGGCATGAACATGGCTCACCACAAACTCCGCCTCCTGGGCTCAAGAGGTTCTCCTGCCTCAGCCTCCCAAGTAGCTGGGACTACAGGTGCATGCCAGGTGTGCCTGGCTAATTTTTTTTTTTTTGTAGTTTCTGTAGATACAGGGTTTCACCATATTGCCCAGGCTGGTCTCGAACACCTGGGCTCAAAGCGATCTGCCTGCCTCAGCCTCCCAAAGTGCTGGGATCACAGGCATGAGCCACTGAGTCTGGCCCTGATTTTATTAACTTCTATCGAGAATAGACAGCTGTCAGGAGAATTATGCTTGGAGGGCAAACAAATGGGAGAAAGCCTTAAGTTTTCGATGACTCTGAAGAAGGCAAGGGGATAGAGAGAGAAATGCAAAGCAACCACAAGCTAATTAGAAATCTTTATCACCCTACTCCAAACTGATCTGCATATAAATTTTAGTAGTTTTAATACCTAATGTTTTCAAATTACCAGAAAATATTGGCCTGCTCAACTGGCATTCTAACCACAGTCCGGTTGCTTCTGCACTGGGCTGAATTCTTAGCGCAGTCAGAGAATGCTGTTTCCACGCCAGAGGCTCCTGCAGCCTCCACTTTGGCTTTGGTGTGCATGTGTGTCTGCACAGACACCACAGTGAGCACTCAGGGGATCCTGGGGGACTCCCCTCTGGCTTTGGTGTGCCTCAGTCTGTAGTCACACCACAACGAAAGCTTGCAGTTGAGGCTTTTAGTCTCACTTCCCACATTTCCATCCAGGGCTGTGTAGAGTTTTCTTGACATTTTACTTCCTTTCCTGTACAAAATTCAGTGTGCGTTGGTTTTGCTTTGTTTTTGTTTTGAGACTGAGTGTTGCTCTGTCACCCAGGCTGGAGTGCAGTGGTGTGATCTTGGCTCACTGCAACCTCTGCCTCCTGGGGTTCAAGCAATTCTCCTGCCTCAGCCTCCCAAGAACCTGGGATTACAGATGTGTGTAAACACATACAGCTAATTTTTGTATTTTTTTAGTAGAGACAGGGTTTTACCATGTTGGCCAGGCTGGTCTCAAACTCCCAACCTCAGGTGATCCACCTGCCTCTCGGCCTTCCAAAGTGCTGGGATCACAGGTGTGAGCCCGCATGCCCAGCCACATTTGTTAAGAATTTTTTTTTTTTGAGATGGAGTCTCACTCTGTTGCCCAGGCTGGAATGCAATGGCACGCTCTCAGCTCACTGCAACCTCCACCTCCCAGGTTCAAGCAATTCTCTACCTCAGGCTCCCGAGTAGCCAAGATTACAGGTACCCACCACGCCCGGCTAATTTTTGTATTTTTAGTAGAGACAAGGTTTCACTATCTTGGCCAGGCTGGTCTTGAACTGACCTCATGATCCACCCTCCTCAGCCTCCCAAAGTGCTGGGATTACAGGTATGAGCCACCATGCCCGGCCAGGAATTTTTTAAACAGGAAAAGAAGCTTCCATAGAAAATACCAGAGAAACAATAATAATTTTAAAAAAAACACCTATGAATGTTTATTCTTTAAAAGGGATTGCCAAAAGACACTTGATACTGGTATAGAACTGTCTATTCAAGAGCTAGTTTAAACAGGCTTTAGAGGGACTAATTCCTTTAGGAGCCAGCAGTATAAAAATTATGTATTTTCTTTTTCTTTTCTTTTTTTTTTTTTTGAGACAGGCCCTCATTCTGTTGCTCAAGCTGGAGCACAGTGGTGCAATCATGGCTCATTGTATGCAGCCGTGACCTTCTGGGCTCAAGTGATCCTCCCACCTCAGCCTCCCAAAGTGTGCCACCACGCCTGGCTGATTTTTTATTTTTTGGAGAGATGGGGTCTCACTATGTTGCTCAGGCGGATCTCAAACTCCTGGGCTCAAGTGATCCTCCCACTTTGGCCTCCCAAAGTGCTGGGCATGAGTCACTGCACCTGGCCAAAAAATGAGTTTTAAGATTTCACTAGAAGATTATTTATGTAAATAATAAAAAGGGCTTATAATTTATTCTGTTACTTCCAAATCCCAGTTCAAAATTCTAGATTTTAATTCTGACATAGTTATTTATATTTTAAAACTTTTCAAAACTTGTCAGTGATTTGAAGTGTTTTTTAAAACTTGTCAGTGATTTGAAATACTTGTCAGTATTTTTTAAGACTTGTCAGTGATTTGAAGCTCGGTTATTTATTTTCATTGAAAAATGAACTTCCTTCAATCTGTGATGTAGAAGGCATGTTAACATAAGAAGTCCAATTCTTTCTTAGCTGGCTGTGCCTCTGAGTAGCGACATGATACCTTATTCTCTACTCATTCTTCCTTATCAGTGGGAGGAAGGGAATGTTCCAGTGAACACAGGCAACATTTAATCAGTTATGTGGCCGCTAAAAGAGATGAAAGGTGACAAGTTCTTACAATTATACAATCTCTTCCCTCTGCTGCTCATGTACCAGACAGCACAGAGAACGTGGTCTTTAGCTGGTGGCTAGTCCCCAACATACCTTGGCTCACACCCTCAGCTGAGCTGAGAAGCCTGGGGGATAAACATAAACGGCAGTGCTAAGGAAAATACAGAGCTTATGATAAGTGAAAAACCAAGGGGAAAAGGCTCACAATTATGTGGAAGAGGCTCTCAACTGTGTCTTTTTCCTGGGAGCACAGTATATTCCCTTTGAACTCAGTTTCAATAAAACTTTTAAATAATAATCTACACTTGAAGGAAACCATGAATACAATATAATGAAAAATATGGTCTAAGACTGTGGTGGAGTGCATTGCATTTTATGCACACCACTGATTTGGTCCTGCTGATAATAACCAAATGCTCAGAAATTCTACTGCTCTACCAAGAAAGGTCACCAGAAAATCTGAACTGGAGACATAACTAGAAGCAACCAGAAAAAGCAAGGAAATCAGCAGGGTTATTAAGTTTTTTACAAAACCCTAGAGAAACCACATATTTAAACCAAAAGGAAGGTAAGGAAAAAGATGCTTCTCACCTTTTGAAAGTTCTCCTTCCACAAATCTTCTATGACGATATATCCTCGTAAACCCCAGTCATATAATCTCTCCCCACTGACCTTGAAACAAAATAGAAAAGATCTTACCATTCAACCCAGCAATCCCTACTACTGGGAATAGTAATAGAATAACAGAATATATATCATTCTACTATAAAGAAACATGCATGCATACGTTCAGCATAGCACTATTCATGATAGCAAAGACACCAAATCAACCTAAATGCCCATCAATGGTAGACTTCCTTTTTTTTGAGATGGAGTTTTCGCTCTTGTTGCCCAGGCTGGAATGCAATGGCGCAATCTTGGCTCACTGCAACCTCCGCCTCCTGGGTTCAGGAGATTTTCCTGCCTCAGCCTCCCAAGTAGCTGGGATTACAGGCATGCACCACTACGCCTGGCTAATTTTTTGCATTTAGTAGAGACGGGGTTTCACCATGTTGGCTAGGCTGGTATTGAACTCCCGACCTCAGGTGATCCTCCCGCCTCGGCCTCCCAAAGTGCTGGGATTACAGGCATGAGCCACCATGCCCGGCCAATGGTAGACTAGATAAAGAAAATGTGGTACTTTTATACCACAGAATACTATGCAGCCAAAAAAAGAATGAGCTCATGTCCTTTGCTGGGACAGGGGTGGAGCTGGGGGCCACTATCCTAAGTGAACTAACACAGGAATAGAAAACCAAATGCCACATGTTCTCATTTATAAGTGGGAACTAAACCTTGACAAACACATGGACACAAAGAAGGGAACAGAGACTGAGGTCTACTTGAGAGTAGAGGGTGAGAAGAGGGCGAGGACGGGAAAACCACCCATAGGGTACTAGGCTTATTACCTGGGTAATAAAAATAATCTGTACACCAAACCCCCATGACACATAATTTACAATAACAACCCTCCACATGTATCCCTAAAGCTAAAAGTTAAGAAAGAAGTTTTTTTTAAAAAAAAGACTCCTATTCTGGGTATAGCCAATATGCTTCTCAACCAGCAACCAAGTTCACTCTTTCCACTCTAACCATTTACTGCTTAAACCATAACAGGCTGAAATAACGTTTAATTATTTTTATATCTAGGGCAGGAAGATGCTACTCACTGTTCCTGACCTGGGGCTGCAGCAGAGATAGAAGCATTAACCATCTGCCTCCAGGACTGTTACAATGTTGAGCCAATGCTGGAAAGTATTGGCAGTTGTCACTGAAGCCATCAAGCTCCCCAAGCTGCAGCCACTGGACTCCGACATATAACTGTAGCCCAGTCGAGGAATCTGGACTCAGTTCTGTCATGAGCAACTGAGGGAGCTCAGTCTCAGGTCAGTCTGGCTCAGAGCTCAATCAATTCAGGTGACTGCACTGCTGTCTGCTCCTGGAACTGAGTTTCCACGTGATGTGGTTCTAGCAACTGAAGTCCCTGTGTCCATAATCTGCCCAGGACCTCAAAACCTAAAGCCTGCCTTGCTCTTGCCAGTTTTCCAAGGGACACTATCTCTAGAGTCCCACTCACTCCAGACATCACCTTTAACAGGCTACCTACTGGTCTCCATCAATGGCTCTTAAACACCATAGGCATTAATAAAAAACCACCAGAGGGCTTGCTAAAACATGGTCTGCTGGCCCTTACTCCCAGAGCTTCAGATTCAGTCTGGGGTGGGGCCTGAGAGTTTGCATGTCTACCCAGTTCTCAGGTGGTGCTGCTGCTTCTGGTCTGGTAACACACTTCCAGAATCGGTGGTACAGCTTTATCCATGTTGCCTGCCACTGTGATCCACCTATCTGTTAGGGTACCATAAAACTGAGGCTTCAAGGGTAAGAAAGGAGCAGCCAATTGAAAGCCCCAAGAAGGGCACTCCCAGCAGAGGGGACTACAGTCCCCAAGGTCCCCAACAAGGAAAGCAAAGGTACCAGTACCAGGGAAGTGTGAAGGTCAGAGCAGTCTGTGTCTACAATGCCAACAAGAGCAGGTTGTGACCAGATACATAATTATCTAAACTGAGTGACCCTTAATTATCGGCTTTGGAATTTGAGTCTCTAGACTTCCACATAAGTATACCAAAAAAGTATTTTAAATTTTTGCTAATGAATATTCAAACAATCATGCAAATTCATGTTCAAATTCTGTGAATACTGGCATTACTGGAAAAAAGGGCCAGAACTGAGGTATGTAGTGGAGAAAATCAGTTAAATTTGCTGCAGTTCATCTATATGTACGAACAAATTTTAGTCTGGTGTTATAAAAACTGCAAAGTAAAATAAAATTAAGCATCAAATTCATATACACATAAGCAAGAATGAGGGACACCATGGATTACAGAGTTTATCTTACCTGGGCAAACACGATGGCTTGTTGTGGATAATAGAGGGAGGCAGCTAATCCCATGAAACCAGGCGGATACACTAGCTTCTTCATTTTTGAACCTAATAAATAAAACATTGTACACACCATCAGATGATTCATTATCCTCACCATCACAATTTACCTTATCCATTTAACAATGAACAAGGCCAGGCACAGTGGTTCATGCCTGTAATCCCAAAGCTTTGGGAGGCTGAGGCGGGAGGCTCACTTGAAGCCAGGGGTTTGAAACCAGCCTGGGCAACACAGCAAAATCTTGTCTCTACAAAAATAAAAATAAAAAAATTAGCTAGGCATGGTAGTGTGCACCTACAGTCCTAGCTACATGGGAGGCTTAGGTGGGAGGATTGCTTGAGCCCAGGAGTTCCAGGTTACAATGACCTATGATCACACCTCTGCACTCCAGCATGGGTGACAGAGCAAGACTGTGTCTCTTAAGAAACCCAAATAACTTGATTAGCAGTAACCTCTAAAAAGAAAAAGGAAAAAAAAAAAAAACTAAGAGAATGTGCCTAATAAAGTCATGGGAACCAAAAAACTTTTGCATGGCTTTATTGAGATGTAATTCACATTCACCCATTTAAAGTATAGTTCAAAGCCGGGAGCAGTGGCTCACACCTGTAATCCCAGCACTTTGGGAGGCTGAGCAGGGCAGATCAGGATTTCAGACCATCCTGGCCAAACATGACAAAACCCTCATCTCTACTAAACATACAAAAATTAGCCAGCCATGGTGGCAGGTGCCTGTAATCCCTGCTACTTGGGAGGCTGAGACAGGAGAATCTCTTGAAGCTGGAAAGCAGAGGATGCAGTGAGCCAAGATCATACCATTGCACTCCAGCCTGGGCAACAAGAACAAGCAAAACTCTATCACAAAAATAAAGGACAGTTCAATGGCTTTTAGTATACTGTATTTTTCTTTTTTTGTTGTTGTTGAGAGAGGGTCTCACTTGGTCTCCCAGGCTGGAGTGCAGTGGCACAATCATGGAGTGCATGGCACAATTCAATGGCTTTTAGTATATTGACAGGTGTATAACCATCATTACAATTAATTTTACAAAAGTAATTGTGAGTTTAAAGAAAAAAAGACAAAAAAAAGAAAATTAATTTTAGAACTTTTTCATAATCACCAAAGAAACCCATTAGCAGTCACTCTTCAACTGCCCCATACCATCCAGCCCTAGGCAACCACTAATCTATTTTTTTTTTTTTTTTTGAGATGGAGTTTTGTTCCTGTCGCCCAGGCTAGGGTAGTACGTTCTTGGCTCACTGCAACCTCCGCCTCCCAGGCTCAAGCAACTCTCCTGCATCAGCCTCCTGAATAACTGGGACTACAGGTGTCCACCACCATGCCCAGCTAATTTTTGTATTTTTAGTAGAGACGAGGTTTCACCATGTTGGCCAGGATGGTCTCGATCTCCTAACCTCGTGATCTGCGCACCTCAGCCTACCAAAGTGCTGGGATTACAGGCGTTAGCCACCACGCCTGGCCACCACTAATCTACTTTTTCTTTTTTTTTTGAGATGGGGTTTCACTCTTGTTGTCCAGGCTGGAGTGCAGTGGTGCGATCTCGGCTCACTGCAACCTCTGCCTTCCGATTTCAAGTGATTCTCCTGTCTCAGCCTCCTAAGTAGCTGGAATTACAGGTGCCCGCTACCACGCCTGGCTAATCTTTGTATTTTTTTAGTAGAGATAGTGTTTCACCCTGTTCGCCAGTGTAGTCTTGAACTCCTGACCTTGTGATCCGCCTACCTCGGCCTCCCAAAGTGCCGGGATTACAGGTGTGAGCCACTGCAACCAGCACCACTAATCTACTTCTATCTCTATGTGTTTGCCTACTCTGGACATTTCTTTTTCTTTTTCTTTTTTTTTTTTTTTGAGATGGAGCTTTGCTCTTGTTGCCCAGGCTGGAGTATAATGGCACAATCTCAGCAACCTCTGCCTCTCGGGTTCAGGCAGTTCTCCTGAGGCGCGCACCACTATGCCTGGCTAATTTTGTACTTTTAGTTGAGACGGTGTTTTGCCATGTTGACCGGGCTGGTCTCAAACTCCTGACCTCAGGTGGTCCACCTGCCTCAGCCTCCCAAAGTGCTGGGATTACAGGCATGAGCCAATGTGCCCGGCTCTCTAGACATTTCATAAAAATTGAATCATTTAGTAAATATGTGGTCCTGTGTTTCACATTCTTCTTTCACTCAGCACCAAGTGTTTTCAAGAGAACCACCTTTTTCCCCCTAAGAGAGCAGAAAAACAGATTGTTTTAAATATAAACAAATCAGTATTTTGGTTTCTAGGGTTTATGTTCTTTTACAGCAATCTGGCTTCCTATTTAAATACTAAACACAGGCGTTCTTCTTCTCCCCTTTCTGCAACCCCATTAAAACAACAGTGAGAAAAAACATTAATAAACCCGCAATCAAGAGAAAATGTGTGGAGAGGCAACTGGCAGAAAGGAAGTGTCAATCAATTTTCAGAAAATGGAGAGTGAACGGAAATAAGAGGACACACTGTCTTGAAATCTTGAGGAGGAGCTGCGGCCTCAAAGGGAGCAGATCTGTCCCAGGGAGACTCCAGATTCAGAGATGGCAGGTTCTGTGGGGAATGGAGATGGCAACCAGGGAGCAAGATGGGGGACAAAACAAACACAAGTCCGATGCATAGACCAGCATGGCCCTTCCTTCCCCTCTGCCATCCCAGTACAAAACTACCGTGGCCAGGAAGTCACACCAGGCAAAAATGTTGAAAAGGGGCAGGGTTACTGGGTGCAGTGGCTCACACCTGTAATCTTAGCACTCTGCGAGACCAAGGCATAAGGATTGCTTGAGGCCAGGAACTGAAACCAGCTGGAGCAACAGAGCGAGACTCCATCTCCGTTTCTTTTTTTTGTTGTTTAGAGAGGGTCTCACTTGGTCTCTCAGGCTGGAGTGCAGTGGCACAAGCATGGCTCACTGCAGCCTCAGCATCCCAGTTTAAGCTATCTTCCTGCCTCAGCTCCTCAAGTAGGTGGGACTAGAGGTCCAAGCCACAATGCCTGGCTAACTTTTTTTTTTGTATTTTGTTAGAGACAGGGTGTGCTCATGTTGCCCAGGCTGGTCTTGAACTCCTGAGCTCAAGCAATCCTCCCCCCTCAGCCTCTCAAACTGCTGTCTGTGATTACAGGTATGAGCCAGTGCGCCCAGCACCCTCTCTATTTCCTTTTTTTTTTTTTAAGTGAGTCAGATGCAGTGGCTCATACCTGTAATCCCAGCACTTTGGGAGGCTGAGGAGGGAGGATTGATTGAGCCCAGAGGTTTGAGACCAGTCTGGGCAACATAGGGAGACCACCATCTCTACAAAAAATTAAAAAATTAGTCAGGTATGGTGGCACGCACCTGTGGTCCTAGCTACTCAGGAGGCTGAGGCAGAAGGATCGCTTGAGCCCAGGAGTTCAAGGCTCAAGGTTGCTGTGAGCCGTGTTTATGCCACTGCACTCCAACCTGGGTGATATAATTTGCATGTTGCTCTCTCTGAATCTCATGTTAAACTGTAATCCCCAATTTGGAGGTGGGACCTGGTGGGAGGTGACTGGATCATGAAGGTGGATTTCTCACAAATGGTTTAATGCCATTCCCTTGGTGCTGTCCCTGTCCAACAATGAGTTCTCTCAAGAGAAGAGAAGAGAAGAGAAAGAGGAGGGGAGGGGAGGGAAACGGAGAGGAGAGGAGGGGAGAGGGGAGGGGAGGAAAAGATACCTTCCTTCAGCTGGATGCTGCAAGCTACCATATTTTTCGGGCAAGGAATGAAAACACCTATATCCAAGGCCCGGCATGGTGGCTCATGCCTGTAATACCAGCACTATGGGAGGCTGAGGCAGATGCATCATTGGAGGTCAGGCATTCAAGACCAGCCTGGCCAATATGGCAAAACCCTGTCTCTACTAAAAATACAAAAATTAGCCAGGCGTGGTGGTGCATGCCTGTAATCCCAGCTATTCAGGAGGCTAAGGCATGAGAATCGCTTGAACCCAGAGGTGGAGGAGGTTGCAGTGAGCAGAGCTCACGCCACTGCACTCTAGTCTGGGTGACAGAGCAAGACTGTCTCAAAAAAAAAAAAAAGAAAGAAAGAAAAAGAAATGACCTCTATCTAGTCACAGCACCACAGAAATTCAAACACTGAAGATTCACAGAAGATCCTCAAAGCATCTAGGAAGAAAAAAAAATGTATCACCTCCTCAGAAGCAGCAAATATCAAGACTGACTATTTATTTATTTTTTGAGATTGAGTCTCGCTCTGTTGCCAAGGCTGAAGTGCAGTGGCATGATCTCGGCTCACTGCAACCCCTGCCTCCCAGGTTCAAGCAATTCTCCTGTCTCAGTCTCCTGAGTAGCTGGGACTACAGGTGCCCGCCACCACACCCGGCTAATTTTTGTATTTTTAGTAGAGACAGGGTTTCACCATATTGGTCAGGCTGGTCTTGAACTCCTGACCTCAGGTGATCCGTCCCCACCTGGCCTCCCAAAGTGCTGGGATTACAGACGTGAGCCACCATGCCTGGCCCAGACTGGCTGCTGACACTCACATCTACAATGCCAGATGCTACAATATATGGCTTTGAAAGTTTTGATGGCAAACCAATTCAGTGCCCAACCAAACTATCACATGGTATGAGGGCCAGAAAGGGATTTTCAGACATGGAAGGTCTTGGGAAGTTTACCTCCAACATATACTTTTTTGAAAGTGACTTAAGCATGTAGTTCAATAGCACGGCAGACTAAACCAAGGAGAAGATGACATGGAACCCAGGAAAAGAGGGCTTAAACCCAAGAAAGTGTGGAGAAGACCAGTCCCAAAACAAGAGCTGTGTTGAAGTCTCAGACCAGACTGTAGGAGGATGTAGAGCTGTGGGGCAAGGGGAATGGACAGAAGAGACAATAGGACGCAGAGCTTGGAAAAACCTGAGAATGAGGTTTAAAAACCGGTAGAGGATGAAACTAGAGAATACATATGGACTTGACTCCACTGAGAGGCATAGTGTTTTTGCCATGGGACCCACACAGATGATAGCAAAATGTGTATGTTATTGATTTTTCTTTAATGGAGTTTCACTCTTGCTCCCCAGGCTGGAATGCCATGGTGCGATCTTGGCTCACTACAACCTCCACCTCCTGGGTTCAAGCAATTCTCCTGCCTCTGGGATTACAGGCATGCGCCACCATGCCTGGCTAATTTTTAGTAGAGATGGGGTTTCATTGGTCAGTCTGGTCTCGAATTCCTTACCTCAGGTGATCCACCCACCTCAGCCTCCCAAAGTGCTGGGATTATAGGAGTGAGCCATCACACCCAACCAATTTTTTTTTTTTTTTTTGAGATGGAGTCTCACTCTGTTGCCCAGGCTTGAGTGCAGTGGTACGATCTTGGCTTGCTGCAACCTCCAGGGTTCAAGTGATTTTCCTGCTTCAGCCTCCCAAGTAGCTGGGATTACACGTACCCACCACCATGCCTGGCTAATTTTTGTATTTTTAGTAGAGATTGGGTTTCACCATGTTGGCTAGGCGGGTATTGAACTCCTGACCTCAGGTGATCCTCCCGCCTCGGCCTTCCAAAGTGCTGGGATTACAAGCGTAAACCCACCAGAATGTGTATGCTAATCCTTAAACAGTTCTAATCATGTAAGTGCTGTTTATTGGCTTTAAAACTTTAAACAGACAAATCCCCAAAGATGGAACCGGGGTTGCTGAAGAGAATATAAATGTTATCAACCTAGAGTATTAATGAATTACTGTTTCTCTCCCAATCCTGTTGCATGAATTGAAAGGGTATAATTCTCCTAGAAAAGCCTGTGATACCCCTGCATATTGCCCCTCCCCCACCCCATCCACTTGAAGTGGCTCACCCAAGTGAGGACCAAGGGAAGAGCAGCAACCCGCCACCCAGTCATTTCTCACTCCTCCAGGGAGAGCCAAGAAGTAGCAGCTCTCAGGTCTCCAGCTCCTGCTGGTTCACACAATGAGCCAGGGACTCCAGAACTTCAGAAAGGTGGTGTAATCATACTCCTCCACCCCTACCTTCATGCCCACATCTCCCAAGAGGCCAATGGTATGGGTTGTCACTATCAGCACTGCCAGGGGCAGGGGGGAACCCACTGGTTGCCAGTGCTGGAGACAGCCACCAGAAGGCAACTGTAGTGTCAACAACCACGTGTCAACTTGGAGTGGTCTGGCTGGGCCCATTTCCTCTGAATGGACATCCACTCGCCTCTCTGAGAGCCCCCTGTCACCACCACAGTCATGGCCATCCTCATCAACTGAAGCAGACTATCTTAGCAGATACACTCAAGAAATCCCACCAGCCTAGGCATGGTGGCTTATACCTATAATCCCAGCACACTGGGAGGCTGAGGCAGGAGGATCACTTGACTTCAGGAGTTTGAGACCAGCCTGGCCAACATGGTGAAATCCCATCTCTACTAAAAATACAAAAATTAGCTGGGCGTGGTGGCACACACCTGAAGTCCCAGCTACTCAGGAGGCTAAGGCAGGAGAATCACTTGAACCCAAGAGGCAGTGTTGCAGTGAGACTGAGATCATGCCACTGCACTCCGGCCTGGGCAACAGAGCAAGATTGTCTCAAAAAAAAAAAAAAAAAAACCCATGAGGAGGGACCTTCTGCACCCACCCATCATGCTGCTGCCCACATAAAGGACCATCTACCTGGAGGGACCTGCAAACCACTCTGGCTACCCACAGACATCCCTATCATCCCACTCATCCTGCTTGGTGAACTCTCTGACACTGCTCACCTCAGGCCTTTCTATACCCATCGCCCAGGGGACAAGACCTGTTATTGCACATGTGTGTGTGTATGCCTGTGTGCATATTTGTGAAAAAGAATTAAGGTCTCAAATTATTTTAATACTACTAAGCTCTCCCCAGGAAAAGGAAGAAGAGACAAAGAAACAAACAAAATCAGAGGACCAGAATCTACTGTAGCAGGTGTCCTCATGTTGCTGCTCTGGCCAAAAGAGCATGGTCTCCAATCCTCCTTAGGAGGGTCACCCTAGTGGATATGCCAGGGACAAACTCTTGGCATTGTAGGAACATACCCATAACAGAGAAAAAGAGCTTTCTTGGACCTGGAAGACTTCCCCACATGCTCTAACCACAGTGAGGGAGGGGGAAGCTCCTTTCACTCACTTCCACATTCCTGCCTCTCTAACAACAGCTGAAATCCCAACACCCTAGCCTAGGGATGTCCAACAATCTCAAACACTATCTAAATAAGACTGAATGCTCTTTTGAACAGCTTTGCAAGAAATGGGATGAAAGAAGTTTGGGGAAAAATGTTGGTTCATAAGTTGATTACAAAAAATAAGCTGGAAATTTAATTCTGACACGTTCTGCATGAGACAGGAGGAGGGCATGAAGACTATGACATGAGTTGCTTCCACAGATGAGCTGGTAGTGCCACCAGGGCAGTGTCTACCCTCCAGATTTAAAAATAACAGCCACTGGCCAGGTGCAGGGGCTCATGCCTGTAATCCCAGCACTTTGGGGAGCACCAAGGGAGGTCGATGGCTTGAGTTAAGTAGTTCAAGACCAGCCTGGGCAACATAGTGAAACCCCATCTCTACTAAAAATACAAAAATTAACTGGGCATGGTGGCGGGCATCTGTAATCCCAGCTCCTTGAAAGGCTGAGGTGGGTGGATCACTTGCGCCCAGGAGATCCAGGCTGCAGTGAGCTATGATTGCACCGCTGTACTCCAGTCTGGGTGGTAGAGTGAGACCCCATCTCAAAAAAGAAACCAATTTAAAAAAATAAAATAAGGCCAGGCGCAGTGGCGCACACCTGTAATCCCACCACTTTGGGAGGCCAAAGAAGGCCGATCACTTCAGGTCAGGAGCTGGAGACCAGCCTGGCCAATATGGCAAAACCCATCTCTACTAAAAATACAAAAATTCGTTGGGCGTGGTAGTACACACCTATAATCCCAGCTACTGGGGAGGCTGAGGCAGGAGAATCACTTGAACTCAGGAGGCGGAGGGTGCAGTGAGCCAAGATTTCGCCCCTGCACTCCAGCCTGGGCAACAGAGCAAGACTCCATCTCAAAAAAAAAAAATTTAATAAAATAAAATAATAGCTATTGCATGGAGACGAAGATTTTTTAAATTGGAGGAATAGGACTGATAAAGTTTGAACGTTTGCCCCTCTAAATCTCATGTGGAAAAGTGACACTCCATGCTGGGAGGTATTTGGGTCATGGGGGCAGATCCCTCCTCAATGGCATGATGCCCTCCCCATGGTAATGGGTGATTTCTCAGTCTATTAGTTCACATGAGAGCTGGTTGTTTAAAAGAACCTGGCATCTCTCTCCATGTGACACACCTGCTCCCACTTTGCCTTCTAAAACAATTGGAAGCTTTCTGAGACCCTCAACAGAAATAGATGCTGGCTCCATGCTTCTTGTACAGCGTGCAGAACCATAAGCCAAATAAACCTCTTTTCTTTATAATTACCCAGCCTCAGATATTCCTTTGTAGCAATGCAAAACAAACTAATAAAGGGACCAAACTAGTCTCTATGGTGCTCTTTTATGGGGGTCTGATTACAGGGCTCATAAACTTTCTTCATTAGGAATGACAGAAAGGTCAGAATTTTATATCATAAACATTTAGTTTCCAAGCAGTGAAACTTCAAGTAGTTCCTAACAAATTAATCTCATCATAGTGAAGTATTTTATCAGGCTTTATTTCCTATAGGTACTTTATAATCTAGCAGTGTAGTAATATTTTTAAGTTGGCATTTGTTAGCATTGAATTTTAAGCATTTTAAAAGTTTTTATGTCATGACTGACTGAAGCCATGACAAATCAAGAAGGTAATAAAATCTCTATTAAATCACTGTTCTATTTACTGTGATGAATAGCCTGATCTTAATAGTGAAACCTTTAGAAAGAGTTTATTTCTCATGTGTGAAAGACTTTGAAGAAAATTTCACTCTTTCTGTACCAAGAACAATAGGGGTTTGATCAAGCAATGTGCCTATAAAGGATAACTAATTTCTTTTTTTTTTTTTTTTTTTGAGAAGGAGTCTAGCTCTGTCTGTCGCACTGGCTGGAGTGCAGTGGCAGGATCACTCCTCACTGCAACCTTCGCCTCCCGGGTTCAAGCAATTCTCCTGCCTCAGCCTCCCAAGTAGCTGGGATTACAGGCAAGTACCACCATGCCCAGCTACTTTTTGTCTTTTTAGTAGAGATGGGGTTTCACCATGTTGGTAAGGCTGGTCTCGAACTCCTGACCTCGTGATCTGCCTACCTTGGCCTCCCAAAGTGCTAGGATTATAGGTGTGAGCCACTGCGCTCGGCCTTTTTTTTTTTTTTAACCAAGAGTATACAATTTCTGTTTATGTTTCAAATCAAATACAATAACCATATCAATTATACATTAAGAAAGCCATATTTAGGAACCAACTCATTATTCTGAAACCCGGTAAATAAAAGGAAAGAAAGAAACATATATCCTATCTCTGCTTTATGGAGCTGTTAAACCCACAAAACTGCACCTACCTCTAGCCAAAAAGAGTCCAATAAGGCCAGCACAACCAATAACACCAAGTCTCGGAAAAAATCCAGGAGGTGCATTTTGGAGATAGTCATAGCTGTCTACAATAGAATTAGAACAGGAAGCAGTTCCATAAATTTCTCATTAAAAAAACAAAATAAAAAGTCTTATACAGTATATAATTTGCATATATAGTATTAAAGTGCTTTTCAAACCACATACTCTGCATTCTGCTAGTATACTTCTTTTCAACATATTCTTTTTGTGTGACATATAAACAAGATTTACTATTCACATAGCAAGTGTCCAATTTTCTTTTCTTTTTTTTTTTTGAGATGGAGTTTCGCTCGTCACCCAGGCTGGAGTACAATGGCATGATCTCGGCTCACTATAACCTCTACCTCCCTGGTTCAAGTGATTCTCCTGCCTCAGCCTCCCAAGTAGCTGGGATTGCAAGTGCCCGCCACCATGCCCAACTAATTTTTGTAATTTTAGTAGAGACTGGGTTTCACCATGTTGGTTAGGGTAGTCTTGAACTCCTGACCTCAGGTGATCCCCCCCACCTCAGCCTCCCAAAGCGCTGGGATTACAGGTGTGAGCCACCATGCCCGGTGTCAAGTGTCCAATTTTCAATCACTTTGGTCCAATAACCTACTGACAATGAAGTAATATTAAATTACTTTCATATTCCTGAAAACAATATGAAAATCTTAATCAGCAATTTGCACAGAGAGGAATACAAATATAGGGATCCTTTGCTGTCTAAACTCTTGTTATGCAAACACAAAAACAGAATAGATTTGGATAAATCTTGGGGCAGATCTATTGCTATCTGAAGCTTTGCTGCTTCCTCTCTGAAACTGAGGAACCAAATACAGGCTGTGAGTGGTGGCTCATTCCTATAAACTCAGCACTTTTCAAGACTGAGGCAGGAGGATCACTTGAGCCCAGGAGTTCAAGGTTGTGGTGAGCTAGGATCACGCCACTGCACTCCAGCCTGACAGCCTGAGCCACAGAGCAAGACACAGCCTCTTTAAAAAAAAAAAAAAGGCCAGGCATGGTGGTTCACACCTGTAATCCCAGCACTTTGGGCAGTCGAAGTAGGCGGATCAAGAGGTCAGAAGTTCGATATCAGCCTGACCAACATGGTGAAACCCCATCTCTACTAAAAATATTAAAAAAAAAAAATTAGCCGGGCATGGTGGTGCACACCTGTAATCCCAGCTACTCAGGAGGCTAAGACAGGAGAATAGCTTAAACCTGGGAAGCGGAGGTTGCAGTGAGCCAAGATTGCACCATTGTACTCCAGCCTGGGTGACAGAATGAGACTCTGTCTCAAAAAAAAACAAAAACAAAAACAAGAAATCAGACTTGGAAAAGTAAGCATCATTTGCCATCTAAACTTATTATTCGAACTAAAGAAAAGAATAAATTTGTATAATAAAGGAAATTTATAAGTTCACTCAGGAAATAGCCACTGTTGACCACCATTGATGGTGATAGAATGAATAAAAATATGAGCCTATGCACCATGCCCGAACATGCCTTCTGACTTCATTCATATGATGTCTCCTCTCCTCTCCACCGAGCCAATCTCACCTCTTAAAAGCTAGTTTGAGTCCCATCTCCACAGAAAAGCCTTTCCTAAGCTCATCAGTCCATACCTCTCTCCCTCCTCTAAAGTCCCATCATATTTATTCTCTGTACCATTACTTCGTACCTAATCCTATAGTACCCTGGTGTATCTGGTGTCTCCCCAGGGAGAACATTAGCTGCTTAACAATAGATTGCTTACACTTCTGTGTTATCTTCCCTCAGTGGTAATAATGGATACTCATTCAATAGATATTTTTTTTTTGAGACAGAGTCTGTCTCTGTCGCCCAGGCTGGAGTGTAGTGATGTGATCTCAGCTCACTGCAACCTCCACCTCCCAGGTTCAAGCAATTCTCCTGCCTCAGCCTCCCGAATAGCTGGGACTACAGGCGCATGCCACCACATCCAGCTAATTTTTTCTATTTTTTGTAGAGACGAGGTTTCACCATGTTAGCCAGGATCGTCTTGATCTCCAGACCTCGTGATCCGCCTGCCTTGGCCTCCCAAAGTGCTGGAATTATAGGTGTGAGCTACCATGCCTGGCCTCAATAGATAATTATTAAGAATGATGGCCAGATGTGGTGGCTCACACTTGTAATCCCAGCACTTTGGGAGGCCAAGGTGGAAGGACTGCTTGAGCCCAGGAGTTCAAGACCAGCCTGGGCAACATGGCAAAACCCTGTCTCAACAACAACAAAAAAATTAGCCAGGTGTGGTGGTGCACATCTGTAGTCCCAGCTACTTGGGAGGCTGAGGTAGGAGGATTGCTTGAGTTCAGGAGGTCGAGGCTGCAGTGAGCTATGATCACACTACTACACTCCAGCCTAGGTGACTGACTGAGACCTTGTCTCCAAAGAAAAACAAAAACAAAACAAAAATCACAATGCCAGAAGTTGATGAATGCTGGATGAATTAACAAATGAGTTTTAGCTAGGTCATGACTTAAACAAGGCCCTCACGTCTCCTTCTCAGTCTCATCTTCAGCATTCCATATCTGCTTAGGGTTCCTCGAACACCCAATACCAAGTCATTTCTCTAAGCCTGGTCATGCTGTGCCCAGTGTGGAATGCCTGCCTCTAGCAGTCCCTCCAGCAGTGTTGTGGCTAACATTGCTCCTTGAAGATTCATTTCAGAAATCCTTCCCTGACTGCTCTCACCTCCTCAATTTATATTAAACTAATCTCCTTCCCCTGTACCTTCAATAATGGTCTGTGATCATCTCTTATTTGCACTAGTATTGAATAATGTATTACATGCATCTCAGTGGTTGTGACCACTGTCTTAACCAACCACAATTTCCAAGGTCTGGCAGAATGGTGACTTAAAAAACACACGCGGAACTGAACTAATAAACTGGAAAACTCAGTAATTCTGTCCCCTAATACTAGATACATGCCAGTGTTCCTTTTCCTCGGTTCTTTGGGAAATGTGATCATTTTAAATACTACTATAGGACTTGTGCTGTGTTTCCATTAATTACTGTCTGGCCTCTTACTTATTTTGCCTTTAGCCTAGTTTTTACTTTCCATTCTCTAGTCTGGGTCATTTGAGGCCATTTTTCACTTCCCTTTATTTTTGCCTACTAGCCCAGTGTTGCTCAATTCTAGATGTGTACACAGAACGGTTGACAGAGGAACACACAGATGGCTCTGGTGAGCTGGGCCAAAGTGGGTAAATCATAAAGAAAGGGGAAAGAAGACATGTTGTAAGACTGCACAGAGTCTGGGCAACAAAGTGAGACCCTGTCTCTACAAAAAATAGATAAAATTATCTGGGTGTGATGGTGCATGCCTGTAATCCTAGCTACACGGGAGGCTGAGCTGGGAGGATTGCTTGAGCCCAGGAGGTCGAGGCTGCAGTGAGCTATGATCACGCCACTGCACTCCAGCCTAGATGACAGAGCAAGATCCTATCTCAGAAAAATTTAAACAAGAGACCTCTCAGCCACACATGTACAGATAAAAGACTGTATCACGAGTTCTCTAGTTTCCTCATATAAAAATGAAGATAATAAAGGATCTATCAGGGTTGTTATGAGGATTAAATTAATATATATATATATTTCAAATTTTTGTGGGTACATAATAGGTACATATTTATGGGGTAAATGAGTTATTTTGGTTCAGGCATACAATGCATAATAATCACATCACGGTAAATGAGTATCAAGTATTTATCATTATTCTTTGTGTTACAAGCATCTCAATTGTATTCTTTTAGTTTATTCACAATAACTATGAGTGTAACTTGAGGCGGAGGTTGCGGTGAGTCGAGATCGCACCATTGCACTCCAGCCTGGGTAACGAGCGAAACTCCGTCTCAAAAAAAAAAAAAAAGTTCAATAAATAGGCTGCCATGGTGGCTCACGCCTGTAATCCCAACACTTTGGGAGGCCAAGGTGGGTAGATAACAGAAGGTCAGAAGTTCGAGACCAGTATGATCAATATGGTGAAACCCCGTCTCTACTGAAAATACAAAAAATTAGGTGGGTGTGGTGGTGTACGCCTGTAGTCTCAGCTACTTGGGAGTCTGAGACAGGAGAATTGCTTGAACCTAGGAGGCAGAGGCTACAGTGAGCCAAGATCGCGCCACTGTACTCCAACCTGGGCAACAGAGCAAGAATCTGTCTCAAAAAAATAAAAATAAATAAATAAAATGCACAGTAAAGTACTGTTGACTACAGTCACCCTATTGTGCTACCAAATACTAGATCTTATTTATTCTAACTATATTTTTGTACTCATTAACCATTCTCACTCCACTTCCAATAAATTGGTATTTTTAAAGCACTTAGAATAGTACCTGATGCGTAAGTCTTAAATAAGTGTTTATGAAATTAATAAAATGAAGATGTTACTTATTAACATGACTTAATAATTTAAAGAACCAGTAGGGGGCTGAGAATGGTGGCTCACTTGAAGTCAGGAGTTCAAGACCAGCCTGGCCAGCATGGTGAAACCCTGTCTCTACTAAAAATACGAAAAATTAGCTGGGCATGGTGGCACATGCCTGTAGTCCCAGCTACTCAAAGGCTGAGGCAGAAGAATCACTTGAACCCAGGAGGCGGAGGCTGCAGTGAGCTGAGATTGCGCCACTGCACTCCAGCCTGGGCACCAAGAGCAAAACTCTATCTCAAAAAACAAAGAACCAGTAGGCAACTATTACTATATCTGTCTTCAAATGATAAATTTATCTGATAGTCTCAGAAAGATCAGGACATCGACACAGTATGATGATCCTAGCAAATAAACTGTACTGATGTTTATTTTGTTCCATCATGGAAACAAACCCTTGTAAAAACAAGATTTTGTTTCTGAGATGCCCAATGAGGGGAATGAAATATGATCAACATCTTTATTTATTTACCAGTTCCTGTTTGAGATCAGTCAGAACATAGACTGTGAATCCAGTTTGGGAGTATATGTGATAAATGGCCCACAAGTAAAAAACAATCAAGGAAAATAAAACCAAATGCAAAAAAATGTAAGAACACTATCTGTTGGCCGGGCGCGGTGGCTCACGCCTGTAATCCCAACACTTTGGGAGGCCGAGGTAGGTGGATCACGAGGTCAAGAGATCGAGACCATCCTGGCCAACACCAGTGAAACCCCGTCTCTACTAAAAATACAAAAATATTAGCCAGGCGTGATGGCACGCACCTGTGGTCCCAGCTACTTGAGAGGCTGAGGCGGAAGAATCGCTTGAACCCAGGAGGCGGAGGTTGCAGTGAGCTGAGTCTGCGCCACTGCACTCCAGCCTGGAGACAAGAGCAAGACTCCATCTCAAAAAAAAAAAAAGAACACTATCAATTATGCAATAAGACATTTCCCAGGCATACCAGCTCAGCTCTTTCCTGCTTCAAAACTTCTATAGCATGTATTCACTGCAGTGCAAATGAGCTATTCCAATTCTGAAAATCTATTGGTGAATTAGTATGGTGTATTACACTATACCTGGAAATGAGTTGGTTTTTTTTTCCTTTTGCAAACTTCCTCTTCAATTGGTTTTTTTTTTTTTTAAGCAGTGTATCTATACTTGCCAGCCCAAGAATCCTAACGATCTTGAAGAGACTTACCTATTTGGGGACACTAGTTGCCTGAAATCTGATGAAAACAACAGCTCCTCTTCCCAGAAAAATCCACAAAGTTCTAAAATTTTGCATATAATTTTAAGGAATCCACAGATTTCTTGGAGCTCATTCACAGAACTCCGATTAAAGAGTTCAATGTTAATGAAGTAGCTGATTATGCCTAATTAAAAATCAACTTACCTAACCCCCATTGAACCAAACTTTGCATCTTGGGCTTAGTTTGGGAGTACGTTTCCTAAAAAGGTAAAAAGAAACTGAATGAAACTATTCACAGGATCTGCTGATTAGAAAGTTAACAGAATAAATATATTTGTCTTTACTGAATAAATTATCATATTATTAACGCTTTTTCAACAAAGGGATACATTGTCTATCTGGGTCTTTTTGTCTGTTTTTTTCTACTGTACTCTTCCTTTCATTGCAAATTACTCAGCAGAATGGCTTACTACTGACACAGGAAGCAGATTTCAAGCAGGATGGTTTCAACGACCCAGCCTTTTCACTCTTCTATTAAAATGGAAAAAACAGACTAAAAATCAATCCCCTTGATACTTAAGTGGCAAGCTTTTCTCCATGAGATTAAATCTGTCTTTCACATTAACTACTTCCTAATCTGCCATTAATTAGAGCCTACATCTGGAAACTCTCCATTTGAAGCAAGAATGACCAGCTTTATTGAGTCAAAGAAGCCTATATCCCAAAGCAAATGAGGTATCAACATTCTCTTAACAACAATAAAAAGGCTTTGTGGCCCGCGCGGTGGCTCATGCCTGTAATCCCAGCACTTTGGGAGGCTGAGGTGGAGGGATCACCTGAGGTCAGGAGTTAGAGACCAGCCTGACCAATGTGATGAAACCCCATCTCTACTAAAACTACAGAAATTAGTCGGGCGTGGTGGTGCATGTCTATAGTCCCAGCTACTCAGGAGGCTGAAGCAGGAGAATCACTTGAACCCAGAAGGCAGAGGGTGCAATGAGCAGAGATTGTGCCACTGCACGTCAGCCTGCTGGTGACACAGCGAGATTCCATCTCAAAAAAAAAAAAAAAAAGACTTTGTACATGAACATCAGATGATCCTAAAGGAAACGAGGAACCCGTCAGAAGGTACTCACACTTTCAAGAAGTCTACAGTGAAGACAAGAAGAGATACATGGGTATCAGAAGGCATCAGAACTAGTTGCCATTTGGAAAAGGATTTGTTTTGTGTCATTCAGTTCAAGTCAGAACAAGCTATCCTCACCCTTTAAATGGCCTTAAATAATAAATGTCGAATGAGGTGGAAGACCTAAAGAACCGAGTATCTCTTCATTAAAATCCATTACTTCATGCCTGTAATCCCAACACTTTGGGAGGCTAAGGCAGGAGGATTGCATGAGGTCAGGAATTTGAGACCAGCCTGGGCAACACAGCAGAGACCCCATCTCTACAAAAAATAAAAATATTAGCTGGCCATGGTGGTATCTGTCTGTAGTCTGAGCTACTTGGGAGGCTGAGGTTGGCAGATCTCTTGAGCCCAGGAGTTCGAGATCAGCCTGGGCAACATGGTGAAACCTTGTCTCTACCTCCTCCCCTCAAAAAAAGAAAAGAAAACTTCAGATCAATGTCTAGAGTGAATGCTCACTTCTTCTGCCAGCTTAATATTTTTACTATTAAAAAAATTAAATTGGTTCTTCTAGAAAAGGACTAGAAATTGCTGATATGAAAAAGGAGCCAGGAATTAGAAATATTTCTATTCATTAATACTTTGTTCTACCCAGGAAAATTAAACCATTATAATTACAAAAACTATTATATTTATGACGAAGTTTTTTTTTAGACGAAGTCTCGCTCTGTCGCCCAGGCTGGAGTGCAGTAGTGCAATCCTGGCTCACTGCAACCTCCGCCTCCCTAGTTCAAGCGATTCTCCTGCCTCAGCCTCCCAAGTAGCTGGGATTACAGGCATATGCTACCATTCCTGGCTAACTTTTTATATTTTTAGTAGAGACGGGGTTTCACCGTGTTAACCAGGATGGTCTCGATCTCCTGATCTCATGATCTGCCCGCCTCAGCCTCCCTAAGTGCCGGGATTACAGGAGTGAGCCACCGCGTCCGGCCAGTTTTTATATTTAGTAGTAGTGGAAATAAACATGTAGATAACTAATCTATCACCCAGAGAGATATTCTGTGCACTGAGTATCATGCATGGAAGAAAAAGTAAAAAACAAAAAGCAATCTTAGGCTGAAAGGTAGAGACTAAGTACTTTTATTACAAAACAAAACAGACACACTAGGAACAACAGTAGTCATGCCTACCTGATACAAAAATATTTGCACAAATGTGCTGACTTTATCTTAACTACCAGAAGTTTACATAGTACATAGAAGGTACATAGTAGGTATATACATTTATGGGGCACATGAGATGTGTTGACACAGGCATGCAAAGTGAAATAATCACAACATAGAGAATGGGGTATCCATCCCCTCAAGCGTTTATCCTTAGTGTTACAAACAATCCAATTACACTCTTTAAGTTATTTTAAAATGTACAATTGTACTACAGGTTGACTGTAGTCACCCTGCTGTGCTATCAAACAGGTCTTATCATTCTTGCTATTTTTTTCCCCACCTTCCGTCCAGTCCCTACTACCCTTCCCAGCCTCTGTCAACCATCTCAGGGCCCTTTATCATGCATGCCTTTTTCCAAAAACATGCAGCCAATATAGACTTTTCTCTATTGACTCTAAAAGAAGTGCGTTCACTCCATTTTCAGAATAGTTGTACCTGACACCAGTTTGTGTATGGCTCACAGTAGTGTCGAAGCTGTGAGATGCTTTCTTCAAGTGGGCTCCTTGACTCCTCCACATACTTCGATTGACCTTTGGGAACTGAGTAGAGTGAAAGCTGTGCATATTAAAATAAAACAAAGATTTAAATGATGTACTGTTTATAGGATAAATTTATCAATTTTGTAAGTATTTAATATTTCTAATAATTCATGAATTATAGTGACTCTGTGGTCAGGCATGGTGGCTCATGTGTGTAATCCCAGGACTTTGAGAGGCCAAGACAGATGGATCACTTGAGGTCAGGAGTTTAAGACCAACCTCGGCAATATGGCAAAACCCCCTCTCTACTAAAAATATAAAAATTAGCCAGGTGTGGTGGCACATGCCTGTAATCCCAGCTACTTGGGTGGCTGAGGCAGGAGAATCATTTAAACCTGGAAGGTAGAGGTAGCGGTGAGCCAACATGGTGCCACTGCACTCCAGCCTGGGCAAAAGAGCGAGACTCCAACTCTAAAATAATAATAATAATTAATAAATTCCAGTGAATCTAAGGGTTACGTGAAACCTGAACTTGACCTCAAACTATATCTGCACCTTATTTACTTAATCAACGAGGCCAAGGCCGATAAGGCAAGGCTACGTGGTGTCTGTCCTACCCTCTCCCCACCTACTGAATGCAAACAAAGCAGCTCCTCTTTACCCATGTTATAAACTAGTATTTGGTATTCCACCTTAGATTGAGTTTGGAAAAAGGATTCTATTACTCTAAAGGGTAGGTGAAGGGGTTACAAAAGCTTGAGAGTAACATAAGGGCATGTCACTCAGTTCAGATGATTGGTCTGTGGTTAATCAAAGCAGGACACCAGGTTTGTTCCCCACCCAGAGAACTTCTCACAGCCACTGCTGGCTGCCTTCTTCACCCTCAAAAATGCCACTGTGCCAAGGCCTGAGAAGAGAATAAAGGGCAAAAGATAAGCTAATTAGCTTTATGTAAACACCAATCAAGTAACCCTATCCAGGACTGAAAGCAGATCCGTACCTCACTTTACTCAAAGGCAACAGAAACTGAATATCCAAAATAATCAGTGGGAAGTACAGACCAAAAAGGAATGTAAACAGTAGAGAGAAGATTTCTTTTTTTTTAATTTAGTATTTATTAAGTATATACTTACGAGTGTCTCCTCCAGCCAAGAAACAGAAAGGATCCAGATCTCTAATTTCTTAGAGAAGAAAAAATGTGAATATCCTCTTGGCTTGATAAAAATCAAGATAAGCCAAGAATCAGGCAGACCACTTAGAAAAGTGAGCTGTGCGCATAAACCTATTGGGACAAAGTGGATTCCCGAGTAAACACTTATAAAGTATTCCTTAATTGTGCCCTTAGCTAAGTACCATTAAAGTTTATCTGCTGAAAAAGCCATAGTTTAGTCATTTCCCACAAATTAAACAAACTATAAGGAAATACATTTTCTCCATTTAAATGTCTTTTGGCCAGGCAAGGTGGCTCACACCTGTAATCCCAGCACTTTGGGAGGCTGAGGCGAGTGGATCACCTGAGGTCAGAATTTCAAAACCAGCCTGGCCAACATGGTGAAACTTTGTCTCTACTAAAAATACAAAATTTGCCAGGCATGGTGGCACATGCCTGTAACCCCAGCTACTTGGGAGGCTGAGGCAGGAGAATCACTTGAACCCGGGAGGCAGAGATTGCAATGAGCCAAGATCGCACCATTGCACTCTAGCCTGGGCAATGAGTGAAACTCCATCTCAAAAAACCATAAATAAATGTCTTTTAAACAGTCACATCTTCCTGATGTACAATTTGTAAAAAATTATCCAAGAGTAACTAAATCAGACACTCAAAATATATCACAACATAAACAGCATGTTACCTCATCAACCTTCACAGAATTTTTGGGAGGTGAGTCCTTTTTTGGTACAGCATAGACTTTGAAGGTGAGCAAGCTCAGGCTGGCCGGCCCCACGGACCTCTGAATTACCTGAAATGTAGAAGCAATCTTAAACCTTCTCTGTGTTACAGACCAAATGTGCAAAACGTGAGCATATTCATAACCTCAGCCACTTCCCACCATGAAAGGCTTACTGTGCTTTATTTTATTTTTACGTTTTTGAGATGGAGTCTTGCTCTGTCACCCAGCCTGGAGTGCAGTGGCATGATCTCAGCTCACTGCAACATCTGCCTCCCAAGTTCAAGCGATTCTCCTACCTTAGCTTCTCAAGTAGCTGGGATTACAGGCGTCTGCCAACATGTCCAGCTAATTTTTTTTATTTTTAGTAGAGATGGGGTTTTGCCATGTTGGCCAGGGTAGTCTTGAACTCCCAACCTCAGGCTTAGCCTCCCAAAGTGCTGGGATTACAGGCATGACCCACTGTGCCCAGCCTACAAAATATATTTTTTAAAAATTAGCCAGGCATGGTGGTGTATGCCTGTAGTGCCAGCTACTCAGGAGACCGAGGTGGGAGAACCTCTTGAGTTCAAGGCTGCAATGAGCCATGATCATGCCACTACACTCCAGCCTGGGTGATGGAGTGAGATTCTGTTTTACATACACAAAATGATCGCTCCATTAAAAAAAAAAAAGATAAGCTGAGAAGAGGGGAGAGCTACGGGTTTTTAAATTTAAACTGTGACTATTAAAAAATCAGACTCCTCCTGTGAAGGTTGTGAGAGTTTTCTAGGAGGAATATTGATCAACTTAAGTTGTATCCTGGTGCTGCTGGCTCTGCCTAATAATTGTGATAGGCACAAACTACATGGACGAATGTCAGCACTAGCTGGCTAATCTTTACCTCAGAAGCAAAAGAAATCTGTAGCAATAGGCCAGGAGCAATGTCATGCCTGTAACCTCAGTACTTTGGGAGGCTGAGGTAGGCGGATCATGAGGTCAGGAGACAGAGACCATCCTGGCCAACATGGTGAAACCCAGTCTCTACTAAAATACAAAAAATTAGCCAGGCGTGATGGCACGTGCCTATAGTCCCAGCTACTTGGGAGGCTGAGGCAGGAGAATTGCTTGAACCTGGGATCCGGAGGTTGCAGTGAGCCAAGATTGTGCCACTGCATTCCAGCCTGTCGACAGAGTGAGACTCTGTCTCAAAAAAATAAAAAATAAAAAGAAATCTATAGCAATATTGCCTTGAAATTATGACCTCAAGATGCACACTTAATACTTCAAGATGTATCGATTATTTTTAAACCAGTTAAAGTAATAACCACTTTTTTCTAATGGCTTTCAGCTCTTTGCTTCTGAAATACGGAAATTTCCAGGCATACGTTTCAACAGACATTTTTGTTATATTTAGCTGGCATTATGTTTTGTCTTACAAAATAGCCTAGTCTTTCACATTACAGGCACTGCAAATCTCAGTAATGTAATTTCCAAGATGCTAAATCATGCCTAAATAGAGAGAAATCAATAGCTCATTTATTTTCCACCTCTCCTCCATCCATTTCCTTTGTCTCATTCGAGCAGGAAATAAACAATTATTGAGCATGTCTTGTGTGTTAGACACAGCTGGAATATGGAGTAAGATATATCCTCACCCTGAAAGGGCTTCCAATCTGACAGGAAGAACTTGATAGATGTAAGTAAATAGACAATCTTTTTTTTAGAGACGGGGTTTCACCATGTTGGTCAGGAGGCTGGTCTCGAACTCCTGACCTCGTGATCCGCCCACCTCAGCCAACCAAAGTGCTGGGATTACAGGCATGAGCCACCATGCCTGGCCGACAATTTTTTTTTTTTAAAAAACAGGGTCTCACACTGCGGCTTAGGCTGGAGTGCAGTAGCAGGATCTCTGCTCACTGTAACCTCCTAGTCCCAGGTTCAAGCACTCCTCCTGTCTCAGTCTCCCAAGTAGCTGGGACCACAGGCATGCACCACCATGCCCAGCTAATTTTTGTAAAGACAGGTTTTGCCATGTTGTCCAAGCTGGTCTCGAACTCCTGGACTTAAACAATCCAGCCACCTCAACCTCCCAAAGTGCTGGGATTATAGGCATGAGCCATTGCACTTGGCCTAGGACAAATTAAAAAATAAAATAAGGGAGGCTGAAGGCACAAGAATCGCTTGAACCTAGGAGGTGGGAAATTGCAGTAAGCCAAGATGGTGCCATTGCACTCCAGCCTGGGTGACAGAGTGAGACCCTGTCTCAAGAAATAAATAAATAAAATAAAAGTGATATGGGAGGTGGGGCAGGTAAATGCTGGGCAGAGAAGGGCATGGTCCCTGGCTAGGGCTCCACCCTTGGGCCTGGCCACCAACCTAGGTGAAGGCAGGCATTTTTGTTTTTGTGCCCCCCAAATGTTGCATTTCCCAAGACCACCCTGGCTCACCATGCCCCATCCTGTGCCTATGATAGACACAAGTGGCTGGACACTGACAGAAGAGCGTATGAGCAGCTGGAGGTCAAGAGAAGCAGAGGCATGGAAGAACACACCTGCAGAAGAACACACTAACAGACTCCAGCAGGCCACTAACAGCAGAATGGCAGGACAACGCAGAGTTCGGCTGAGGGTGGTAGGAGGAGAGCCCGGCCACTAAGCAGCCCCGACTCCAGGGGAAAACCACCTTCCCACTCTGTATCCCTTCTGGCTCCACATCCATCTGCTGAGAGCTACTTCTACCATTCAATAAAACCTTGCACTAATTCCCCAAGCCCACATGTGATCCAATTTTGCTGGTATACTCAGGCAAGGACCCCAGGATACAGACAGCCCTCTGTCCTTGCGATAAGGTAGAGTGTCTAATTCAATTGATTAACACAAGCTGCCTACTGACGGCAAAACTAAAAGAGCACACAGTAACAGACACCCACTGGGGTTTCAGGAGCTGTAAACATCCACCCCTAGACGCTGCCATGGAGTTGGAGCCCATACTGCCCACGACCTGCCTGTCTGCCTGCTTTCCCTAGAGGTTTTGAGCAGTGGGGCACCCGAGAAGTGAGCCACACTCCCACCGCATGCCCCGAAAGAGTGACAAGGGAAATTTTCCTGTTTCAAAAGCATGAATTTTCCCTGCTCTTAGGCAGTTCTACAGAAAGGCAAAACAAGTATAGAACATTACAGACAGATGAATCAGCACGTGTGAAGCCATGAAGCTGGGAAACACCATGGAGAAATACAGAGTTCGAGTTTTGTGGGAGGGGGCAGAGTGACAGAGAGATGAGTTAGAGAAGTTGATTGTAGCCAGATCATAATGGGCCTCGCGTGGCTCACATAAAGTCCTAGGTAATAAATACCAAAAGATCTCAAATAAGGGGATAGAATATAAAATCAAGTTTGCCGTTTAGAAAGATCATGATTTCTCAGTGTGGTGGTTTGAGTCATTAAAGGGCCAGATGACCAGTTATGGTGCTGCTAAAACAATGCAGGAAAGCAATGAGGGCCCAAGGAAAGATTGCACAGGAGAGGAGAAAGAGGAGAAAGTGGAATTGGGACAGTTTAATAGGCAGAATTAGCAGGACTTAGTGATCAATGGGAAAGGAGGGGTGACAATCACCTTGGCTTCTTTTTTAATTTTTATTATTTTTAAATTAATTTTTAAACTAACAAGATTCACATATTTATTGTGTACAACATGCTGTTTTGAAATATGTATACATTGTGGAAGGGCTACATTGAGCTAATTAACATATGCATTACCTCACAAATTTATTTCTGAGGAATCTAAAAAAGTTCAACTAATAGAAGTAGGGAACACCATGGTAGCTACCAGGGACAGGGGCTGGGGGGAAGTCAGGGAGATCTTGGTCAAAGGTACAAAGTTTCAGTTAGAAAGGAGGAGTGGGTTCAAGAGATCTGCTGTATTACATGGTGACTACAGTTAATAGCAATGTATTGTAGTCTTGAAAATCAGGAAGAGTTGATTTTAAGTGACCTTGGAGTTTCTGATGGGTTTTTCTAGTTGGGTGGTGACACAGCATTCCTGAGAGAGGAAGTAGAGGAGGGGCAAGTCTGAGGGAGAGATGATGAGTTGGTTTTGGATATTTTCCAGAGACAAACAGACAGCTAGAGGTCTAGTCATCTGTCTATACATCTTTTATTTTACTTGAAAAGCTAAGTAGACAAACTTAGAAACTCTTGTCTTTTGGAAATTAAGACAAAGTTGACTTGAAATTTTAAGTCCATGAGAACATTTTTTTTGGGTCTGGACTTCCTCAGCACTTCAAGGGCACATTTTATTTCTCATAAAGCACAGTAAGGCTGGCCACGGTGGCTCACGCCTGTAATCCCAACACTTTGGGAGGCTGAGGCGGGCGGATTATCCGAGGTCAGGAGTTCGAGACCAGCCTGACCAATATATTGAAACTCAGTCTCTACTAAAAATACAAAAATTAGCCAGTAGTGTTGGCAGATGCCTGCAATCCCAGCTACTCAGGAGGCTGAGGCAGAACTGCTTGAACCTGAACCTGGCGGCGGAGGCTGCAGTGACCTGACATCGTGCCACTGCACTCCAGCCTGGCCAAACACACATCTATATATTAGTAGAGATAGTGTCTCACCAGGTTGCTCAAGCTGGTCTCAAACTTCTGGGCTCAAGCAATCCTCACACCTTGGCCTCCCAAAGTGCTGGGATTACAGGCATGAGCCACTGCACCTAGCCTCCCAGCTCTTTTTAAAGATGCCAAGCTGTCTAAGGCTGAGCCACCCAAGAGTTCTCTACAGTACCCAAGTGGTTCCCTCCTGGAGCCCTCATCAGGGGCTTGTAAGGCTGCTAGCATCTGGAGGCGCCAATTCATTGCTATCTGCTTTCTAGGTCTGCCCAGGACCAACAGACCACAGTGCTTCAACTAGGAACTCTCCATGGAGGCAGGAGTCAAGCCAGCCCCACTCCAGGACTTTGTTTCCAACTCCCCTCCTTCAGGTACCCAAGCTGGTACCCCGCCCCCTCTCTACTCCCTCAATTAGCCTCTATGGTTTCACAGTGTCCTCTCATCCTCGTTTTCATATACTGGTATCCATGGGGGATTGGATCCA